GTGTGACCAGGGAGTGTGAGGGGACCGGGCTGTGTGACCAGGGATCATGTGAGGACCGGGCAGTGTGACCAGGGAGCTTGAGACCAGGTGGTGTGACAAGGTGGAAGGAGCGTGTGAGGGGTTCAGCTTTCTAATTGGACCTTGATTTGACTTCTAGACCAGAAGATTTTACTTCTCCTCCGGGCGTATGAACAGAACGACCTCAGCCTTGTGAACTTCAGGTGAGGTTGGGCCTGGAGGTGTGAGCAGCGGGCTTTGAAGGTGCTGTCCCAAGACTGGGGGAATATGATCTGCACAGCAGTCTCCCCAGATTTTCTCTCATACCTTTTTGATTCTCCGCGAGAAGGGAGGATGGGTGGAGCTCTCCTAGGTCACATACCAGCTCCTGTGGAAGGCTCGGCCTCATGCTCTAAGGATGGTCCATATCCATCCCTGAAGGAGGAGGCCTGAGTTTGGGGCCCACATGGGAACTCTGTGGACATTCAGTGGACAGATCTCACACCAGTAAATGGTGCCCACTCGACGGATGTGTCCAGTATGTCAGCTGCTTGCCTGTCCCCCCGCCCCCCCAGGGAACAGCCTCCTAAAGAAGCTAATTTATTTTTGAACTTGAATGACTCCTGTTGACCTGCGCAGAAACGAGTGTGTATTTAGAATTCAGTTTAGAAGTATTTAATTAAATAGATGTTCATTGAGCACTTGCTGTTTGACAAGGTGCTGGGCCCAGCACTGTTGGGAATACCTAGAGGCATAAGACACAGTCTTGCTGTCTATTAAGGGAATCAGATTATTGTAAATGGAACCCTTTCTAATTGGCCTTTGGTGGCGTAACCCAGCTGTTAGGGGAGCACACGAGAGTACCCTCTCCCGAGGGGGAGTCAGGGAATGCTTCGTGACCGGGTTGGCACTGGAGGGATTTGATGGAGCTGAGGGTCAGTGGAGGAGCCTTGGGACACCACGTGGCGGGAACAGTGTCACCATGGCTGGGAGTTGGGAAAGTCAGTCCATTTCTGAGAATGGTGAGCAGGTCAGCTTATGTGCATCACAAGATATGTGTAGGGAAAAGGTGGTGGGAAGGCCGGACAGACTGGTTGGGTAAGGATTTTAAGTGTCAGACTGCAATATTATCATTTCCATCTAGGAGACAGAGAGCTGATAGATGTTTGGGGGCAGAGAAGGGGTCCCCATCAGAGCCCGGCTCTCAGGGAGCACCCTCCACTAGTGGGGAGGTGGGTGGGAGGTAGTGGGGAGAAAAGTAGGAGGAAGGGGAGGCTTGGGGCGGCTGCAGTGGGTGTTGGTGGTGCATAACAGAGGCGTTGACATGGTAGACTCGAGGCAGGGACAGTCAGAAGGCCGTTGGGGCAGACCTGCTGTGCTCATGGCCGCCTATGAACCGGAAGGAAGCATCATCGAGCAGCCAGGATTCTCCTGCTGTGGCCCAGCGACTGGACTGTGGAGCCAGACCTCCCAGTTTTGCATTCCAGTTCTGCCACTAACTGGCTGGGCAAGTGACCAGCTGAGCAACTTTCTTAACCCTCCCTGTGCCTCGTCCCCCATTTGCAAAATGGGGGTAATAATAGTACCTACGTCACGGGGTTGGTACACAGATACAGTGAATTAGTAGATGTGAAGGGCTTAAAAGTAAGTGGCACGTCGGAAGCTCCAAGCAGGTGTCATCATCCCCCCACACTGTCACCCACCCTCGTCACCGCTAGCATCTCCACCAGCCCCCTCCTCCCCCTTTGTTAGGGTGGGAACCAAATGATAGAACACCTGTCACGTGTTCCGGACAGCGGCTGGCGAGTGCTGGCTGCTGGGCCACGCTGCCTGTGACGGTCATCGTCCCCGTCATGCACTCTGTTCTGGTGGGGCCCAGTGACCCGTCTGCTCTCCCCCGTCCGGCTCTAGAGTGTTCCTGTGGGGCCCGGCGGCAGTGGAGCATCACAAGACATGCCGGAGCCTGGGCAAGTCGCTGTGGCAGCAGCCGAGCGTCGGGGACGTCCTCCGCCTGCTGGATCCGGACCGCATGATGAAGACCATCCTTCACTTCCCGCAGAACCGGAGGCTGCTGCCCCCCGAGGTGCGGGGGCCCGGGGGAGCCACTAGGGAGCACTCCCGGCAGCAGAGCGTGCTCTTCTCGCCCCTCAGGGGATTCTGTTGGCAGCCTCAACTTGAGCATACTGCAAAACACAAGCGCTGTTTTTCTTACGGTTTGTTAACAACTTGTTAAGTATAATTCCAACTACATACGGAGGTACCAAGACAGGGCCCCCCACACCTGTCATTCAGCTGCAGCACTTAATCAACACCGGCCATGCTCCTTTCATTCATAACCCCCCCTCCCCAAAAAAGACTAGTTTGAAGCAGATCCCAAAGATCTCCATTTCATGTCAGAAGCGCTGTTTTCTTATGCTTTTGAATATTCAAAATCATTGGAACTCTATAGATCAGTGGCTAAGCACTCACATGTTACCACATTTATGTGGCCAGACCACACATTTCTGTTTGTTTCGGGCTATTTCAGGATGCACAGGAACTGATCTTTAAAGACCGGCGCACAGTGGATCTCGATGGCCTTTATGACCCCTGCTTTCTCCTGCATCTCTTCAGTGAACTGACCAGGCCAGGTAACCTGCAGCCTTCTGTGGGGTGGGGCTCAGGGCCCGATAGCAGTCAGCTTTCTTGGGGGAATTACCACCATGATAACAGAAGGCTTGTTTCTTATCCTAAAGATCTTCATCCGCCTTCCCACCTTTTCATTTCGGTGATTTTTCGGAAGAATAACAGTGAATGTTTTGAATGTACAGTGATTTAAAAAAAAATTACAATTTTAAAATCTGGGAGTGTCCCTTCATCCTTGATGTTTTCCTAATTCTCAATGGCAAGAGCCCTTTCTGAATTCCCATTAGATAGTGATCAAATGCCACCAGATATTATCCTTGAGAATGAGGGAGAGCCTGCCGAGGTTGACTTTTTGTTGGGTTAAGTGTAATTTTGAAATTAAGTGTCTAATAGCCAGAGGGTGGGAGTGTTTGTGAGTGAACGTAGGCAGGAGACCAAACACAGGCATGCACATGTACGCACTATTGAGGACTGATGTCTGATTCCCACCGCAAGTCTGTTGCGGCAGTTCTATTGGTTTGTGGCATTTTGTCAGCAGTAGGCGTGTCATGATATTTCATTGTGGTTTTCATTTGCGTTTTCCTGATGGCTAATGTTGTCAAATGTCTTGAGGTTCATTTGCCATCTGTGTGTCCTCTTCGTTGAAATGTCAGACATGTCTTTTGCCCATTTTCTAATGGGATTTTTTTTTTCACTGTTGAGTTTGGAGGGTTCTTTATATATTCTAGATACTCGTCCTTTGTTGGATATGCGGTTTGCAAATGTTTTCTCTCAGTCTGTGGCTTATCTTGTCATCCTCGTGACAAAGTCTTTCACAGGGCCCAAGTTTTTCATTTTGAGCAAGTCCAGTCGATCACTCTTCCCTTTTGTGGATCACGCTTGTACTGATACTCCTAGCTGGGAGAGGCAGGTGTGGCCCATGACTGCTCCTCACGGGGCCTCCCCTAATGAGGAGGCCTCCTCTGATCTCAGTGAGGAGCAGGAGGGGCCTCTGGTTCCTGCCCCCCATCCACCTCTTGGCCTTGCCTGACAGACGCCACCTCAGCAGGGGACTTGGGGTCCACAGCAGGCTCCACACCCCACCTTCACTGGGGTGGGTGGGAGCAGGGCGTGGCTTTCTCTGAGGTATTTGGTGGAGCGGAGCAGTTATTGTCCAGATTTTGTCTTACTAAGCTGCTCCTTTTCTAGTCTTTCATCTAGAGACTAGAGAGAGCAAGGCTTTGTTCAGGCTTTGTGCCTCTTGGTTTTCTGGGCCGCTGGCTTCTTCAGCTCAGAGTCTAGGACACCAGGAGCAGAAAGAAAACGCAGGGAATTCCACTGAGGCCCCTCGGCTGGTCAGCTTCCTTTCCGCCTTTCAGAGTCGTCTTACACCTGTCCAGGATTTTTCAGTTGTGTTTACTAGTAGACATAGAGAAATATGTCGACTCCATCTTCCTAGAATTATACATCTAATTTAAGTGTTTAACATTAGATGATATATTCACAGTTCAAAATTCAGGTGGTACCAGAGGGTGTGCGGTGAAACTGGCTGTCGTTTCCTCCTGGCGGGGACCCGTGTTAGCTGTTCCTCACAAGTGCTCCTGGGCCCGGCTTGCTCCTTCATGGCCTGTCATGGCTCCGGTCAGGCCTACACGGAGGGCACCCGGGGCAGGTGGGGGGTGGGGTGGGGGGAGGCGCATGTTCTGCAGCTCTGCCCTTTGGCATGGCCGGCGTGCTGCCTGCAGGACCCCCAGGCTCCTTCTTACTGGACTTGACAGCCGCATGGATTTAGGTGCACTGGGAGACCATGTCTCCTTATTCGTGCTGTCTTGTCCCCTTTTCAACTTAGAGTTGTCCTTTTATGCTCCAGTGCTCCTGCGTACGAACAGACTTGCTGACCCTCCACCACTGCCTCTCCTAACAAGATGACAGGGGCCGGTCTTGGAGGTTTCTCACCGGTGGCCCCTGAGGTTGCTGTGGCCCCCCGGCCTCCGTGACCTTGGGTGTTCTGTGGCCGAGCTAGATTTCATTTGCCAGAGAGCAGGGGCATTTCATACCAGCATCCGATCACCGCAGCAGCAGGCAGAGATCTTCATTGACCCCTGACAGGGACTTCCCAGTAGCCTAACAGAGACACAGGGACCGTGTGCGGCCCGGACACTCTCCTCCTTTCCCCTGCCTTCAGCCCCGGCGAGGTCTGTTTCTCATCAAACACGAAAATAGATTTTCCACAGTCTGAAAATATGAGGTAACTTGAGTGGATTATAACAAATCATTTAGTCCGTTACTCAGGCTCTTAAGAGAGCTTTTAAGAGACAGAAGGCAAAGGCTTGGAAAACACTAATAAAAAAATACTAAAATTAGGACACAGTGTTGTTCTCAGGATCTTGAATGCTGCCCTCTTTGGATGGGGAGGACGGTGTCTGGGAGGCCTTCTGTGAAGAAAGGTAACTCGTAAATGGTCTTTTAATAGGGAAGTCTCCAAATACAGCCTATTTTAAGTTTTATAGGCATGGTACACGTAGGAAAATTTGCAAAACATGTCTAGCCCTAAAAAGGATTTGTGGTAGCTTAAAATACAAATTACAGTAAAATCATTCATGGTAAAGTAGACAATTTTAAAAAGCAGAGAGGTGGATAAAGATATAAATACGAAAATTAAAAGAAAAGCAGACAAGAAAAACTAGGTCATTAAATTTTGCTCGGAAATACTTGTCATCCAGAACAAAAAGTGGAAGCATCATGTTTTAAACAAATTTTGTTGTCTGATAAAAGGAAGCAAAGCAGCTTGTAGGGAGAGGGAAATTTCTAGCAGTAAAATGGTAAGTTGAACAGAATAGAAATCTGTGAACAGCATATGGCCAGTGTAGGGTAGGTTTATTGTTGTTGAATTAAATCATGAATTCATTTTTCATACTATTTTTAACATGTATTTTTCTTTTTGATTCTGCCCTTGGTGGGAAAGTAAGCACGAAGAATGTCTTAAGTGAATTTTTATTGAAGCGTGGTAAAGAGAAATGACCACACATCATATGTGTGTGGTGGGAGTTTTGGTGAAAGCACCAGCTGGATCCAGGAGCAGCACGTAATGGGCGGCTCTGCAGGCCCCTTCCTAGGCCGTGCCCCTTCCTGCCAAGCAGGAGCCAGAGCCCTGTATTTGAACTGTATGTGAATGGTACCATGCCGTATGTGTCCTTTTGTCTCCGCTCCACGTACCCCACATTGTGTTTGTGAGATTCCTTCGTCCTGTGTGTGGAGCAGAGGTTCTCGACAGTGTTCTTACTCCCTGCAGTGGCCCCCAGATCTCCGTGTTGCTAACATCTTGCAGTCCTAAATTGGGCAGATGATTAGTTTTTAAGTGTGGCTGCCAGACCAGAGAAACTCTAGTCTCACTGCTCCATTTCAGCCTTTGCTGAACATGGGAACCTGTTTTCTTAACCTCACTGCTTCCCTACTCTGAGTCCTTGGCTGAGAAACAGGGTCAGCCAGGGCTCTTAGCAATGGCAGTGACAAATGCTTTTTCCACAGCGAATTCTTGTCCTCCGCAGAACTGGGCGGCTCTCTTCAGCTCATCACTCACAAACGTCACAGACCAGAGAGGCCAGCATGCAGTTCTGTGAGCCTCGTCCCCAGACCACGGAGACACAGGCCCCATGGACTCCTCAGTCCCCTGCCAGGCTGCCCCCAAGGAAGGGGTAGAGGAGGAGGCATGAAGAGGAGCTCCTAGGGCTCTGGGGCACAGTTCTACTACCGCTGAAGCCCATAAGACATGGGGTGCTTTTTATTTTAATCCTTGATCACTGTGCTGGTTCAGCCATTTCAATCCGAAGATGCGTTATCAGAAGGCCAAATTGCTATTTAAAGAGGTTCCTGGAACAGAGTGGTGTTTATAACTATGTTTTGATAGCCTCTTATACTTTCCGCACCCCAGGGCAGCTCTTTTCCTGAAGGGTGACAAAGCAAAGACTTCAGAGAATAGCAGATGACCACAGACATGAAATTGACTTTTCCTCAGGGACACGTGGAAAATCCATTTGTCTTAGAGAATGTCAGTGATTATTAAAAATACCCTAGCCAGCTGAGTACTAGCTGTTTTTAAAGTGAGTGTAATATTAAATGTTTAGACTGTTCTCTTTCCGAAATATATTCCATTTACATGTGTTCAGTGTGTAGGTATGTAGGTGTATCTTAACACATCTCATCTTTTCCAAAACCGTGTTATCCCACAGTTGGATGGTTTTTTAAAGCTTTTGGGGTTTTCCCCCCCTTTTCATCAAAACTAGTCACGTGTTAGAAATGAGGAAATTTAGTCTGTACCCTGTTGGAGCCCAAGATTATTCTTTTTTCATCCCTTTAATTTGCATCTGGATACTAAAAATGGTTTTGTGTTGACAGATGTACTTGGGTTTTGCCTTTTTTAAATCCAGTCTGACCATCTCTCCCTTTTAATTGGAATGTGTACACCATTTATATTTAATGTGATTATTGATCTGATTCTGTTTTATTTTCTTTGTTGGTTTTTAGCTACAGTGCATGTGTGTGTTGCTTTAGGGTTTATAGTACTCATCTTCAATTTATTGCAGTTCCCCTTCAAGTGAGGTTATACCACTTCATGGATAGTAGAAGCACCTTACAACGGTACTGATCCATTTCTGCCCCTCCTGGTTTTCTGTGCTGTTCTTACCAGAGATTTTACTGCTGTATACTGTAAAACCCACAATATGTTGTTTTTGCTTCAAATTGTCAGTTACCTTTTAAGGAGATTTAAATATCTTATATTCACCATCTTATAGTTACCATTTCTGGTTCTCTTAATTCCTCTGTGTAGACCCATTATTTCTATCTTCTGTCATTTTCCTTCTGCCTCAAATACTTCCTTTAAGAATTCTTGTAGTTCACGTCTGCTGATCAGTTCTTTTAACTTTTTTATAGAAAAAAAAGGCTTAACTTTTGAGAGATTTTCATGGGGTATAAAATTCTAGGCTGACAGGTTTTTGTTTTTGTTTTTTCTTACTGTACTTGAGAGATGTTGCCAGCTGATTTTGGATTGCATTGTTTCTAACAAGAAATCTATCACCAGGGCGCCAGGATGGCTCGGTTGAGCATCCAACAGTTGGATCTCAGCTCAGCTCTTGATCTGAGGGTCATGGGTTCAAGCCCTGTGTTGGGCTCCATCCGCAGCATGGAGCCTACTCTAAATTAAAAAGAAGAAGAAAAAGAAAGAAATCTACTGTCATTCTTACTTTTGTTTCTCTGTATGTTGTGTGATTGCTTTGAAGATTTTTTTTTTAATCATTGGTTTCAAGCAGTTTAATTAGAATGTGCTTTATTGTAATTTACTTTATGTTCCTTGTCTTTGGGACGTTCATTGAGACGTTCATTGGGACGTTCATTCTTGGCTCTGTACGTTTATAGTTCTTGTCAAATTTGGAGAAGTTTTGGCCATTATTTCTTCAAACTTTTTAGGGACTCTAATTATACATACATTAGCCTGGTCGAAAATTGTCCCACAGCTCACTAATGTTCTCTTCCAGGTTTTAATTTTTTTTTCTCTGTGTGTTTCAATTTGGATCACTTCTGTTGCTGGCTTAGAATTCACTAATCTCTTTGTCTAAAATGTCTAATTTGCTAATAATACCCTCCAGTGCATTTTTCATCTCAGACATTTTAATTTTCATCTCTGGAACCTTGGTTTAAGTTTTTACAGCTTCTGTGTGTCCATTTAACATACTCAGTGTTTCCTCTAGCTTCTTGAACATGTAGAATACAGTTGTAGTAGTTACAACAGAATCCTAGTTCTGTTACCTTTGTCATATCTGAGTCATTTTCACAGGGTGGATTCTTCTCTTCTAATGGGCTATATTCCTGCTTGTTGGAATGTCTGGTAATTTTTTATTGTAAACCAGACATGATGAATTTTACCTTGTTTGGTGCTGGATATTTTTATATCCCTGTGAATGTTCTTGAGCATTGCTCTAGGACACATTTGAGCTCCTTAGAAATGGTTTGATCCTTCCAGTCTTGCTCTGAATCTCTGTTAGGTGGCACCAAAGCAGCGTTTTAGTCTGGCACGAACTTTGCCCCACAGCTGACGTTAAATCCTTCTGAGCAATCTGCTCTCCCTGTGAACTGTGAGGATTTCGCCCTGGCCGGTGGGGACAGGAACTGTTTCCAGGCAGGTGCGAGCCTGGGGTTGGCCCTGTTCTTCAGCCTCGGGTAGCTTGCTCATACACTCTTGCCGAGTGGCACTCCACTGAAGACCCTGGCGCTCTCGGAATGGAGCTGTCTTCTCTGGGACCCTCCCGTGTGAACTCTGGCCACCTTGGCCTCCCAGCTGTGCGCTTTGTCTACACAACTCCTGAGTTCTCCAGTCTCTGCCTGGGCTTGCCCTCCCTGTGCCCTGGCCTAGAAAATGTCCAGGCTTCCGAGCTGGGACGATCAGAAGGTCCATCTTGTTTGTTTTGTCTCTTGGAGATTGCTGTCATTTGTTGCCTCATGCCCAATGTCTTGAAAAACCTTGTTCCATTTCTAGTTTTTTAGTTGTTTCAGGTGGACAGGTAAATCAGGTTTCTGCCACACTCTTGGCCGGAAGTGGAAATCCTGGTTATTCTTTGAGAGGGTATCACCGTTGAGAAAGAGGAAGGAAACTGTGTGGATGCATCTGCACTACCATTGGTCACCCTTCAGGCGAGATGCTGGTGGAAGGTCTAGGGAGCTCCGCTTCTTCTGAGGGAGAAGGAAACTTTATGGTTTAAAGGAATTTCTATGCTCTTGGGCAGCCACCCATTTGGAGACTGTTATGTGCCTGTGGAGCTGTTCGGATGACAGAGAAGTAGCTGATTATTACAGTTTTTCTTCTTCTTAAATTATTCTCAGGTTTTTTTAACGGCCAAAATTATCCTTTTAAAAGTCTAACTTCAGCAAGAGAAGAAAAAGAGTTTGACTTTTTAAAAACAATATTGGTGGTATTTCTTTTATCAATAGTATATTCCAAGATGACACACTTGGGGTAGTCCCTTCCATTGGTTTGTGTTTGGTTCCTAATTTAACCAGCTCACCAGTCACTCAGTCTAAAGAACGTCTGCACGGGTGATTACCATGGCCAGACCTGCTGCTTAATCCATTTTAAACACAATGACCTGTCCCTCTTCTAAGACTTTTCTTCACAGTTTTTATCTTATAATTTGTGACAGTATTTATGTTGTAAAAATGCCTAGGTCTTTATTTAAAAGGATTTAAAGTATCCTGAATTTTTTTATTGGTGATCAAGCTTTTTAAGTTGTGGTCAGGTGGGTCCCCTTATATATCTGACCTTCTCTTGGTCACATCATTTCCTGAAGTGGTTGTGAGTTTTTACAAGGCCTCGCGGGTGACAGATGGATATCAGCTAGCAAGCTCTTTAGACTCTAGCTTTTGCTCAAGCTTGGTGAGCCGCTCTTCTGTGAGATTGTTTGTTTGAAGAATGGATATAAGTTAATCCTCCATAAAATTGATGGGCCAGGGGCGCCTGGGTGGCTCAGTCGGTTGAGCATCTGCTCAGGTCATGATCTCAGGGTCCTGGGATGGAGCCCCATGTCAGTCTCTCTGCTCAGCGGGGAGCCTGCTTCTCCCTCTCCCTCTCCCTGCTGCTCCCCCTGCTTGTGCTCTCTCTCTGTCTCTCTGTCAAATAATTAATAAAATCTTTAAAAATAAAAAAAAATGGCGGGCCAGGTCAGACAGGTTTGCACTGACTGAATTTTCCAGCTTCCCTGCCTTTCATAGTTTCCTTAGTGGTGTTTGTGGCTAGGAATTCGGATGCTGTGGGCCAAACAGGGTAGAAACGGGGAGCTGGTTTTCTCTGCCAACTCCCCAGTCCTGTTCCCCAGGCCTCCAGCATGCTGGGATCTCGTGTCTCAGGTCTGAATGGCACCTCCATTGTTCTCTGGCTCATTGAATACTTCTGAGAAGTAATGAAATAATCCTAATTGGGATCGACGAGCATTTTAGAAGCTACAAGTATGGATTACTGCCATGCAAGGGAAGATAGGCTTTTATCCAACTTCACCAGAAGTTAAAGGGAGCTGGAGAGACTTGGATTTCTTGTATCTCTCACTCCTAACTGATGTTGGCAAAAGAAAATTTAATCCCTGTGTTACACAAGCATCGTGATCATTCCATGTGTGTGTGTTGATAGCTGATGTTGGCAAAATGCAAAAGGAAATATAATTCTCCATGTTACACAGGCATCATGATCATTCCGTGTGTGTGTGTGTGTGTATTTAATGCCGGGTTTTACTTCCGTAGAATTTGTGGTGGATTGTCGAAAATTTTTGGATTCCAATTCTCTGGGCCTAACTGTCACGGCCCTCAGCAGCTATGACCCCCAAATGCGAGCTGCAGCCTACTACGTGCTGGCGGCCTACTATTCACAGCTGGAGGGGGCACGGTTCCGAGAGCAGTCTCAGGTGAGTGGAGCTGAGGGTCCTGGCGGACCTCCAGGAGCTGGCTTTCCACTGGGTCTAGTAGCAGCATTTCTGGGGGACACAGAAGCATGTTGACAGGAGACTTCTGATAAAGAAACTAGGCCCGTTCCCTTTTAGGGAGTGATGCTAGAGATTGCCTCTGGTTCTCAACCCTCGGGGGGATGGAGAAAGCTCTCGCCTTCCAAACACTTCTTGCGTGCAGGGGGGCAAAGCAGTTCAGTTTCTTTGGTCTGAACTCAGTGGTTAAGGCAGCTGTTACCCAGAACACACTGAGCCCCAGAAGCCTGTGCGCCAAGGTGGCAGGGAGCAAGAACAGCCCGGCTTGTCGGGCCATGGAGCCAGGGTCCCTCTGCCCTTGCGCACGTGCCCAGCTCCTCAAGGAAAAGCAGAAGCACTCCTGAGATGGCAGAGAGCAGGGACATTGCCATTCTGAGCGTCATCTCTGGTGTCCCCTGGGATGTGAAGAGTAGGCCACCCAGCAAAGCTGTGGTTTAAGCTGCGCGAGACAAGGCTGGTCACGGTTCTGAAAATTCTTGTCTTTTTTTTTTTCCCCTTCTTCTGTTTTCCTGGTTTTAAGCTACTTTACCTGTTGGATGTAGTCCGGAATGGGATCCGAACTCAGAACATGAGACTCACCTTTACCTTGACTCTCTTCATTGCCAAAGCAGCCTTGCAGATTTTGAAACCAGGTACCACTGCATGTCCACTAGTCGGTGTTAATCCTGAAGGCGTGCATGATCCGCCACACGTGTGAGAAGGGACGTGTCTGGCTCATCCAGTGCTTGTAACAGTGAGCCGTGTGCATGCCCACGGGAGCAGACAGTGAATAAAGCATGGCTGTGCGGAAGCTCTATATGGGCCCCTGCGGGTGAGATCAGAAAGAAACCCAACGAGGAAGCCCAGTGCAGAGCAATGTGTGTGATGGGGCTTGGAATATGTACTCGCATTCGCTATAGGCGTGTGAAGCCGCGGTACAGGGCTGCTGTGAGGGGGTACGTGGATCCCACACGTGGAGGGCACCTGACCCAGGAAGTCTGTCCGTCGGCAGCTGCTGGTCCATACTCGGAAGTGAGAGTCTGCGGCTCGTAGGTCCTTAGCCAGAAGGTGTCTGGCCCGGATGTCACTGCATGGGTGCCGGCTGGGGCCCGAGAACACGGCTCCTTGTGTGACTCCCCGCGGGGTACCACTGCTGAGGTAGCCTGAGGACAGGTGTTGGTCGCATTAGGGGCCACGGGGTTCTGTGTCACGTGGTCATGTTCAGATGAGGAAGCAGCCCCCAACCTGAGGCCCCCCAGGTTAGGTAGCTTGTCCGAGGCCCCACAATTCCTCTCTAGTCAAGTTGCTGTTAGAATTCAGGTCTAGTTTCTGTCTTCTCCTGTACAGTTTTTATTGTGTGGTTTTTCTTCTCCTTAAAAATTACGGGAGGGGGGCGCCTGGGTGGCTCAGTTGGTTAAGCG